TATTATTATTATTATTATTATTATTATGGAATGATTCTCCAGGGAAAAAACCAGCCGGGGATAAATCAGTGCAGATCCTCCTTTTTAAGCTAAAATCCGGGATTCTCTCCCATCCCACGTCATTCCAGTTTCCCCGGAGCGCTCCGGGATCCCGGGACCGGAGGGCACAAAAAGCCTTTTCCAAGTTCATTCAGGGCTTTATCCGGTGATTTTTCCAAGGAAAAAGCGGTGAGGAGAACGGGCTTTTCCTCCCTGAATATTCCCGAGGTCAGCTCCCGGTTTTCCTCTTGTTTTCCAGGGGCTTTTTCAGCCCCAGGGGAGCAAAGTTCAGCTCGGGGAAAAGCGGAAAAGCACCTTCCCCCCCCCCTCCCCCTCCAGGGGTTTTCCTGGGCTCCCACAAATCCCACAAATCCCACAAATCCCACATTCCCCGAATATCTGCTGGTTCCTGCGCCCCAAAGGCCCTTCCAGCCGAGGGATGGGGGGGTTTTCCAGGAACTCCCCCCAAAAAAACCCTGGGATTCTCCGGCGGGATTTGGGGCGGGGGGCGGGGAATTGTCACCCGGACATTCCCATGGGATGAAAAAACCCAGGGAAAATGGGAATATTCGGCAGCTGTGTGGCTCCACCCAGGGGTTTTCCAAGCCCGGAATGGCCGGGAAGTGGAATTATTGCTGGTTTTTATGGAATTGATGCTACTGCTATTATGGAATTGTTGTTAAGGAATTGTTCTCATTCTCATGGAATTCTTGTTTCTATTATTGAATTATTATTATTATTATTATTATTATTATTATTATTATTATTATTATTATTATTGAATTATTATTATTATCATCATGGAATTATTATTATTATTATGGAATTGTTCTCATTCTTCTGGAATTATTGTTGTCAGAGAATTGGGATAAAATGGGATTGGGATAAAAGAGAATTGGGATAAACCAGAATTGGGATAAAACAGAATGGAGATAAAATATTCTCAGGATAAAACATTCTTGGGATAAAACAGTCTTGGGATAAAATATTCTTGGGATAAAAGATTCTTGGGATAAAACATTCCTGGGATAAAAGATTCCTGGGATAAAAGACAAGCCATGTTGCAAGAAATGCAGGAGGAGAATGAGGAATTCCAAGGTCAGCTCCCAACGCTCCAAGGCCAAGGGGAGACATCCCTAATTCCCTAATCCTGAATGTCCACAGCAACTCTTAGTAATTTTAATAATTATGAATAAATGATCGGTTGTTTTAATAATTAATGAGCTGCTCCAGTGTCCTGCTGGGAAAAGGGGAAGCCCCAGCCTGGCATTCCCAGCACTTCCTTCATTCCTTCCTCCTCCACGTGGGAAGGAGGCAAATCCAGGGATTTACATAGAGAAGAGATTTAAAATAAAAAATCCTCAAAGCTCTCCCACCTCCCAGAGAGAGGGAGAAGCGTCCCAGCCCTTTGGAAAAGGGGTGGATTGGCCAAGGAAGCCCTTCCCAAATCCCAAACACATCCAGCCTTTTCCCTCTTCCCTGGGATGGATTGTGATCCCTGAGCAAACCCTTCCCAAGCATTCCAAACCCCTGGAGCATTCCAGCCTGGGAAGTTTCCTCCTCCTCCCGGGGATCCCAAGGTGCCACATTCCCACACCTGTTTTATTTAGGCAAATTCCCTGTTTTTCCAGGTGCTTGGCTGGAAACAAGCTGGGAAAAGGCAGTGGGGGGGGGAAAAAAGGGCAGGAACCCACATTCCTGCTTGGATCCCAAGGGCAGTTCTGCTGCTGATCCAAGCAC